TCCCTATAGAAGTGGAGACAAAGCAGGCCCATTACGTAGTTACTGTCTTCCTTACTTTCCGGTTGTGAGATTGAGCTTTCAGCCTGCTCACACATACAGCGGACCTTCAGGTTATGACTGGCCTGATAAATGTGTTCTACGTCACAATCACTGCTTAGTCTGTAGTGGCTACTGTTCCTCTTTGGGGCTATATTTCAGGCCAGCTTATTGTCTACCCAGGCATCTTTCATGGAAACTTTTCATGATCCATTCAGAATCATCTTTCACTTAGGTCACTTACCAAGGAGCCAGGATCCTACTGTATCATCTTTTACCTGTAAAAGGAATAAATTGTGCAGGCTCTGGAGTATAATATCCTCTTCATACTAGAATTTTATTTCTCTCTATCTCTTTTTTAATTCATCAACTTTATTTTTTGATTGGCACACAATGTTTGCACCTGTATATAAGGAAGGTACTGACTGAGGCTTTGATTCAGTTATAATTACATTCACAGAATTAGACAAGGACTTGATCAGATGACAGTGTCAAGTGAGAATTCAACCTTCACATTTTTAATTAACAGTTCTCTGGAGTAATCATTCATGGCCACAGGGGAATTCCATTGGATACAACAGGATTTCTTTTCTCAGAGACTCACGGAGGAGAAACACACATGGGCCTGTGAATCAAAACATGGCACCACGAATACAACATTTATGGGGCAGCTTGAGTGTGGAGGGGGTATAGACCAGTGGTGACTCAGTCTGCAAGAGGGAGCATCTGAGCTGGGTCAGAAAAAGCTAAATAGAAGGAGCAGGTGAGGGTTATCCAGAGAGAAACAGGTTGTGAAGATCACAATGCCGCTGTGTTTAGAGAGGGAAGTATAATCCCGAGGAGACAGAGCATAGGAGCATGGGGTAGGCGAGCTAGGGCAGAGTAGAAACCAGAGAGGGAGGTTGTCTGGAGGTATGTTTGGGAGAGATCCATAGGAACTTCTAAGAAGTAATTTCTGCTGTTGTCCGAGAGGCACCCATTGCAATCTGTTCATTTGAGCAAGACAAAAGAAAATCACGTTTTTGTTTTTTTGTTTTTTTCCTGTGGTTAGGGGAACTTAACAAAGTACTATTTCTTATTTATACTTTGCTTCAACTGTGCATCCCTTGGGAGTAGGGTAAATCCTGGAGAATGGAGAACTGATGTGTCCTTTACTGGCAATAACTCATCAGTTGCTCCCAAAGCATGTTCCTCTGCTCTTTATACCTTTGAATTGACTTATCCATCCAATAGATGTAATTTAGAAGCAAGCATATACTTAGATGTTACTTGGCCTCCCATAGAGCACTGCACAGCTATGAAACATAGCTTTCTTTTAAATTCAGACAAAAAGATCTCTGAGTTAATTTGGGGGACAGAAAAGGTAGGATTTGAAGGTTTTTATTTATTTTTAAATATATACAACTTTCCTCAGCTGATTAAAACAACTGGAGAAATTATGATGCTGTTGCCAAACTGTTGAAAGCATTTGTTCACCCAGCTTGGTCCTGATTTGAAAGACAATCACACCCCTTTCTGGTTACCAGTAGCAGGCCTGCAGTTCTTGTATTTGGCTTCATGCAGCTCAGATGGTGAGGCATAAACTAATTCACAGCTTGCATATTTCCAGGCTAGTTCTACTCTCATGGCTATCTCTCCGCTGATGATTAGATACTTTCAGGAGACTGCCCTCTTCTTAATGACCAAACCCTGAGTTTTTAGGAAGACAGAAAGCAAAGGGAAGATCTAAAAGTAAGTTCCAATCAGTCCCAGATTGTAAATTTTAAAACTTGGATCAAGATCTTGAAGTTGGATTGGCTCTGTGTTTAATTCCCAGCACTACAAAAAAAAAAAAAAATGCTTAAAGCTAAAAGAAGAATGCTTGAATGGTAAGATCTGAGGCATTACAAATAAATAAGGAGCATTATTTTTAAGCAAAGGAGGCTCATGAACATTTATAAATAATTTATTAGAATGATTCTAAATGATATAGAATAATGGAATAAAAGAATATCTGAGTTGGAAGAGAGGTAGACAAGTGTAAAGCCACTATTTTAAGAGAGGGGGGTATCAGATCTAGAGAACTAAAATGATTTGACCAGCTGCACAGAGACTGTTGCTTGTCCTTCGTCATTTCTTCTTCCATCGTTCTCTCTTGGTTGCCTGGGAATTTGGCCGCTTGAATGCAGACTGTGTTTCAGCCTCTCTTGCAGCTAGATGTGGTCACATTTAGCTTTGAATTTTTTTTAATTTTGTAAGCAAAATTGATTTTTGTCTGGAAGAGTTTTTCTATCCCTTGCCCTTTCTGCTGGCTGAGATTCTAACTTGATGGGTGGAGATGGGAATCATCTTGGACCATGAGAAGAAGGTGCTGTCCTTTGAATGTGCTAAAGAATGTTACAGCAACAAGGTAGGAGCCTGGGTTTTTGAAACATGGAGCTGTAGACCACTGTCTAGGTATCAGGTCTGAAAGGTATCACTGTTGTTTTGGATTTTGGTGTTACTCTTGGCTAAACCCAATTTGCACTGCTCCGCAGTTGTCTAGAAAATTACTAAATTGATCAGCAATGGATATATGAGGAGGGCAGGGTGAGTTATGGGCAAGATGTGATTCTAATATAAGAGTAAAAACATTTTAAATGTTCTATGTCAGAGGTTCCCAAATGCTGATCTACCAATAACTGTATCAGAATGATACTGGCAGGTGTTTCCATAAATCCAGGTTCCTGGCTCCCTTTCCTGGAGAGTTTGACTTTGTAGCTATTGTAGAGGGGCTCAACCTCTGCTATTTAAAAGTTTCACCTGTCATTAAAGGTACAAGATCCCAGTAATGAATGTAACTGTACTGTATACCTAGAATGTACCAATAAACTCAATAAAAATAAAAAATAAAAGTTTCACATGTAATTCCTAATTACTATATTCAAATACAGTACCTCTGATAATTATTTGATCTACAATTGTTCTCTTTCCCTCTCTCTCTAAGTCTGTCTGTCTGTCTCTGTGTGTATGCGGGTGTGTGCATGTGTACACAGGAGGAATCAAAACCATTAGAAAATCTTGTTTTGGGAAAAAGAAACCAAACAAACAATTATGAAATTAATTCCAATCAACTCTCTATATTTCTGGGTTCTGTGCCCATATATTTAACCAACTAGGATCAATATTTAGGCACATGCACAGACTTTTGGGGTCATTATTTCCAAAAAATGCAATATAACAACTTGCGTAGTATTTGCTTTAAGTACACAGGAATGAGTATGTGTGGGGGTTTATGCGAATGCTATGCTGTTTTACATAAGGGACTTGAACATTTTTGTATCCTGTGGTGGTGGTGGGGTGTCCTGGAATCAATCCCTGGGGGTACTGAGGGACAACTATATTCCTCAGTTCATTTGGATCTACTTGTTCTTCTCCTGTGACATTGCCACCAGAAGAACCTCTTTTGTTAGCCTTAGTTCAGACCAACCCACAGTGACACAGTTGTATGCAGGTAGTGTTTTGGGTTTTTTATAAATTTCATTTTTTGTGGAAAGTTTGACCACCCACCAATGTGCCTTACTATACATTAATAAATCATGAATGTGTTTGTGACCCAAACAAACAAAAACAAAAAACCACCATTGAGCTCCAGGGCCTTATACCTCAGAGACTAAATTTTTTGGTCTTTTCAAAGATCTGAAAGTCAGCAGATTCAGTCAAACAGCTGTTAGCTGAGGCTAGCCTAGCAATGCTATAGCAGCAGGCTCTCCTGGCACCGAAAGTGATGGGCAGGGGAAAGCACTACCAGAAGTCTGACTGTGGCAGGTGCAAGGCATTCCCACAGCTGTGAAAAGAAAGGAATTATGCCATGCAGCATGTCCATATCAGAGATCTCCTTTCAAGAGCTATCCTCACAATGATGTATATGAGCTGCTTGGGAGCTCAGTTCTCCCACCTTCTACCAAGAGATAAAAGTGCCCTCTGCTAGAAAGAAGACTAGCACTGACAGGGCTTTCTACAACTCTCAGCAGAAAGATCCATCTTTAATACAAAATAGGAAAACTAATGTCAAGGATACCACAGATCTAACTCCAACGGAGTCATTAATTAGCCCAGTCTAAATCTAGATAAGTCACATAATCTTTCTGTTTCTTTTTTATCTTGGACAGAATCAAGGGGTTGAACTTGATGAATTATGAAATTCCTTTTAATAGTTAGATAATTTATATTTAATATATAAATAGATTAAATGAAAAGCTTCTAACAATCGACATTACTTATTTGCTTCTATTTTTAAAAAGACAAAAACCCTAAATCATCAGAAAGACACACGTTTTGTATAGATGGATGTCCCCATCCATACTCTTTGGGACCTGAATTTCTAGAAAGTTTCTTAAGCACTGTGAACTCTGATGGCATCCAGTTGTTGCTGCTGAAAGATCCCATTATGCAAATATTTAGGCTAGAACTTTTAAACACCCACAGACATTATTTCACTCTCCCACATAACATCACCCAGAGGGCTCAAAAACACACTGTACTGAGTCCAGGCACTTATTGACATGATAGCTATGGGGTCTCTCTCTCTCTCTCTCTTTTTTTGTACCGGGGATCAAACTCAGGTCCTTGTGCTTGTGAAGCAGGCACCGGGGTCTCTTGACGGGTAGCCTCTGAGAACCAACCTCTGAGAACCAACTTCCTGCCTAGAGATGGTTTCCTGGGACAAACAGAGCTGCAAACAGAAAGGAATCAAAGCTCTTTTAAGGGCAGTTACTATTTTAAAGTAGTCTTGAAGCTGTCGTAGTGTTTTCTCTCCCCTTTAAACTCTCCTGTTTCTTCAGGTAACCCACAATGGAATCCTTACTTTCTGAACTGTCCACATAACCCTTTTTGATCTAGGGGTTCACTGTCTACCCAAAAATTTGAAAGAGAAATGGGAACTCTCAGAAGTCCCAGGAAAAACTGGGACATAAGGGCCACAAAGACAAAGCAGCTGAACTTACTTCATCCACGTGCCCAGCAGCTCCATAGACCCTTGCCGTTTGTCCAATGAGACACGGGAATCTCTTACCAGTCTCTTCCAGCGTTGGAAGAAAACTGCTCAGAGCCACTGGTTCGTAGCCAGCTATCTCTGTAAGGATGTTTAGGACGATGTCATGATGGCTTGAACTCTTCAAATTCCTGAGTAGAAAAGGAATGCATTTCTGAACCACCTGCAAAGAGAGAGGAGAGGAGGGAGGCAGAAGAAGAAACAAGGAGGAAAAGTAATTAAATCAGAATCAATTTGAAAAGCAAACATTTTAAATATGAAATCTGAACTCAGTGCATTCTGGGATCATTATCCCCAGTGGAACATAAGCAAACCTCCAGACTTTGGTACCTAAAATTTGCAGTAACATCTTCAGGTCTTTCATGTATTTTTTTGTTTAATTCTTGTCCTATTGCTAAAGAGTGCCATTTACAAAATGTTTATTTGCTCTCTTCATAAGTAACATTTTGGTATGTCATGCTCTCGTTGGGAATGCTACATTTCCTCTAACCGTGATGGGAGCTGCAATTTGATATACAATATAAATAAGAGATCCTTCTTAACTTTACTCAAAGCCTTCAAAGTGGGCAAGTACTGTTTAGAAGTGCTTAGTAATAAAAATAGGAAAGCTTGAAAGATCTACGTTTTCACATTTCCATTTTGATCACAAGAATGTAAAAAAAAAATCATTAAATCAAGATGACCTCTACCACATTCCCACAGCCCTAACATTTCTTTATTGATTCTTAATGTTTTTATGAACACAGGATGAATGAATTCATATTAGAAAATGTGATTTGTTGGTGGCATAAAGTCACTATGCTAATACACAGAAATGAGGCTCAATGACAAGTTAATAAATTGGTTTGTCTGCTAAAATAGAAGAATTAGAAAGGAAAACCTGTGGAAAATGGAATAATGAAAATAAAAATAATTTTTCCATTTGTATTTCTGCTATGCTTATTTCTTTTAGTTGCTGTCGGTTTGGTTTTTTGATTTGTTACTATTTTAGTAAGGTAGACTCTAAATGCAGCTTCCAGAAATAAACCTGAATCTCATGCACAGCCTCCTAGCAAAAACCTGCTTCCTCCTCTTCCTGTCACTCCAAGTCTCACCTTTCTCCATGAATGACACCATTATTCACCTTGCTGCTCAAGGTAGGATCTGAGAATCATTCTTTTTTTTTTTTTTTTTTTTTGCACCGGGGATCAAACTCAGGTCCTTGTGCTTGTGAAGCAGGCAGCAGAACCACTGAGCTAAATCCCCAGGCCTGAGAATCATTGACTAGTTTCTCTCTTATCAGCAGTCCCCACGTCCTGTTGATGCCACCTGCCTAGTGTCTCACACTCTGTCCACTCCCCCATTTCGATCCATCTGCACCTTCATCTGCTCACAAATATTCAGTGGGTCCTTCTTATTTACTGGGCACTGTTCTAGGTGATTGGGATACGGCTGCTAACAAGCCTGACAGGATTCTTGCCTTTATGGAATAAGGAAACAATCCCACTAGAAATGCGTAATTATACGTTCTAACAAATAACCACACAGAGAAAATATGGGGCTTTGTGTAAGATTGCCCAGAGCCCTACTTTAGGCTGGACACGTCAGCAGAGGTCACCGATCCCATCATCTTGCATTTGAGGGATCCTTGCAGCCTCTCAGAATGTCTCCCGGCTTTCAGTCTTGCTCACCTCATTTCTTCTCCCTCTGTGGCCACAGTGGTCTCCCTTTCCTTTGTGAACCTCGTCACTTACTTGACCTGACTTTCTAGATAGAATCTTAACCTGCCTTTTCTGACCTGACTTCTGTTCTCAATCTCTCACTCACCCCTCCACCCTCCTGACCCATCCTGACCCATCGCATATCATACATCAATTCTGCCGAATTTTTAGGAAAAATTTCTCGACTTGCTGAATTTTCTCTTGCGTCTGGAATTTTACTCACGTGATTTGCTCTGCTCAGAATTCTTGCTGCCTTTATTTTGGAGAACTGACTTCTACTCATCCTTGGAGCCTCAGATTAACTGCTATTTCCTCAGAAAGACTTCCCCAGCTGCTTTTCCCTGCCTCTCAGTCGAGGGTCCCGGATGAAGCTTCTGTTTTACCCCCCACCACTCTGAGCAGGCCCATCTCAAGATTCCCTCTTACTGCAGATCTAGCTGTGTATCGCTCAGACTAGATTGAAAGCTTCACAACGTGGCTACTTTGCAAACACTGGGCACTCAACACCCAGCACACAGCCTGCCTTAGGTGAGTTAATAAATTTTTCTTTGAGTTACTAAATATTTGAGGAAAAGAAGGAAGGCAAATCTAAATAATTTTGTAGAGTAGCAGTTGAACAAAATATCCTCACTGCCCCCGAGGGGTTGAATGGTTGCACAAAATGTTTAAACACATACGCTGCTGTGTGTAGTACACAACATCACCAGCATGGACATAAAAAGATAATTTTAGGTTACTAAAATTCTCCTACATACTGTATAGATTTGGACTTTATGCTCACATCCAGGACAGTACAGGGCTAGTTTCTAAGAAATGGCACCTATGAGTGAACGGTTCTACACATGCTGCCTGTGCAACCAGGACTGGCTGTGTGTCCTTCGGGAGAAGCTGTAGGAAGTGCCTGGCACACACGGCAGAGGTGTCAGCCAGATGTTCGGGGTCAGAGCAGCACACATATCCTGACGTTTTTACAAGTGGAAAATGCTCACACATTTCCTGTGCCCTTCTATACAATTCCACCTTCCAGCCCTCACCCTTCCCCTATTCCTGGGACGCCAAGATCTCCATGACATACGCTTCTAGATGTGCCAGTTTCATTTCTAATTTTAAAGTCTAGCCGCACACCCCAAACTTCACCAAAGTATGTTTGCCCCATTAAAAAAATGCAAAGGACAAGAAAGGAGGAGAGAGATAAGGAGGAACGGAATAAGGAGGGAAGGAGGGAAAAAAGGACCGAGGAGAAGAGGAGAAGAATGAGAGACTGGAAGAAGCAGGAGGAGGAGGAGGAGGCGGGGAAGCAAAAGGAACAAAGGAAAAAGGAGGCGGTGGAGGAGGAAGTGAGGAGGGAGGCACAGAACAAACTTAGGCTTAGGCAGAGCCAAATCCATACAAAGAGAAGAGAAACCTCGAATACTATAAACAAAGTAATGGCAACTATATAAGTTAAACAAAAGCTAACTGTTTCGTTGTGAATTCATAATATCCCAGAGTCTATGATGATGGCAATAGAAATGACAGATAGTTCTTGAAACTCATCACACACATGAAAGGAAAGAGGTGCTTTGTTTGGGCGTGAGATCGATCATGCTTAGATTATAAAGAATTTTATTTTCCACACACACACGGCATTTCCCTAGGCTGGTGTCTTCAGTGCTCTCTCAAAGGGCATGTTCTTCATGTCTCAGAGAAAACCCTCTTTACTGAAAGCAGAGCAGTCACTGAGACAGCCTAGACGGTTAGTAGACAGCAAGTCAGCATGGCCACGCACCCCACCCTGGGGCACTGAAGGAGCTCCAAATTCCAAATCTCTCTCACTTCTGTTCAGCCTTCTTTCTTTGTTTTGTTTTTGTTGTTGAGACTTCCCTGGAACTCACTATGTAGCCCAGGCTGGTCTCGAACTCACAGAGATCCTCCTGCCTCAGCCTCCCAAGTGCTGGGATTACAGGCGTGCGCCACCACACCCGGCTTGTTCAGCCTACTTTCTGCCACCAGACTCATATCCTAAAATCTAAATTTGATCAAATTAAGTCTCTTTTAGAAATTTTCAAAGATTTCTCATATCTTAAGGCCAGAATCCCACTACCATGCTTTTGCAAGATCTTCACTTCTGGGCCTATCTAGTGCCTTTCCCCCACGGCGAAGAGCACGGCACTGAGCACCCACAGAGAACAAAGAGACAGATCTCACATTTTCGTATTTGACCTTCCCTCTGGCCCACCCTAGCACACATAGGACCTGGGACTGGAGTTCATATGGGGTCTCTCATTCTCCACTCCCAAATATTCAGCAACTATGCAGATCACTCTACTCCCTTACCTGAAAAATGCAGCTCTGTAACAATCTGGGGTGCTTGATTGGAATTGAGAATCTGGGGCCTCTATATAAGGAACAGGGAGATGAGCTTCAGCCCCCACAGTTGGTCCTACCCTTCTCTTCCTATTTCTATCTCTGTCCTGCACTTGAATTCATCACGACCACCGCTGAGGGATAGGCAGTCACGTCGTTGTCACGGCTTGTCCTCGGGAGAAAGTCCAGGAGCCAGGGTTGTCCTGGAAAGCCTGCTTGCTGTACCTAGGAACATTCTGAGGCCCCCCATCCCTTGGGCTGTGTTCCGTAGGTGATGGAATAGAGGAGGACCCGACCGGAGCCCCTGAAACAAGGAGCCAGCACAGGCCCGGCCTTGAGGTCTCCAGCCCCTTCTGGACAGTCACTGCTTTCCCTTCCTGGGCTCCCGTAGCAGGCTCGTGACAAGCGTAGCGCATTTTCACTGAATCGAAATTTTGTGGGTACATCTGCGAAGGCCATGAGAACCTTGAGTATGAGTAGCCTGAAAATTGTGCCATAATTTAATTTTGTACAAAATGACATTTCAATTCCTATTCACAGTAAAACTGGTAGAACGCGTCCTTGTGTGTGCCTCTTAAATTAGTCCTCAGGCCACTTTGTCCTTTAATTGGGCTAGCGGTAAGAGTTTATTAATATTTAAATATTTACAAAACTGCTCTGTTCATTCACTACGTAGTCCCTCTGCACTGAAAAATACGATACCTCTTGAAAATCACGCTTCTGCTGTAACGACTCTTTCAGAACAGTCCATATATTCTATCGCTTCAGCTTCCTAGTGCTCCATACTGACTAGTTCCTTTAAATAAATGGCAAAAGCGACCTCTGAGCGTCGTCAGCTGGGTGATGCTCTAGTAGATGCTGCAGAATTAGGTATGTGAACAGGAATGCTCCGCACAGCTGAGGGAAAATCCTGGGAAACAGCTCTCTCCTTTAGGGACCCATCACCAACGCGGCTCCTCCTGGCCTGACCACTAGTCAAGAGGGCTGCACTTGCCCCTTTCTGTCACTCGGCTCCGTGTGCTATGGCCAGAAGCCCGTGTCGTGGGGATAATAACAGATGTGCTCGTACGTGTCACTAAATTCTGTTCCTTCGGTTGGCTAGACTATGGCCCGGCTC